GCGGGTCTCGAACCCACGGGCTCAGGCAATCCACTCACCTCAGCCTCCCAAAGGCGCGGGATTACAGGCTGAGCCACCGAGCCCGGCTTCTGGACCCCTTTTCTTATCAGAGTATCTTGGTCATATTTGGATGCTGATAGAAAGGAGCAGATAGAGAGGGAGGTATTAAAACCAGAGGGGAGAAGAAAAGGGACTAGAGAGAAAGAGACCCAGAGATGAAGAGATGAGTCTTGAGTGCCACTTTTATCCCAAACTGTTGGAAAAAGGGAGCAGGTAGGGATACAGGAAGATTTGCAGGTTTGGGGCGGGCAGTTAAGGGAGTGCCTTTCTAATAGTGTAGAAGTAGGCCTCAAGGTCATGTGCTGTGAGGTTGGAGGTTGTGACTTACACTATAGCTATAGGGTACCATGCCCTCCTTGCCAGCAGTCCCTGGCAGCCATGGTGTCATACCAGGGAAGGTAGGCCGTCCAATTTATCCAGGGTCAGGTCCAGCCCGCTCTACCTGTGAGAGTCAAGGAAAGTTGATAGTTGAAAAACACTGTATAAGCAAGCCTGCTTTGCCACTTTAATCCTTTCCCCTTATTTTGAGAAGCTGGAAGGCTGCGGCCATCATCTGAGGAGAATATCAGGGGCTTTCGAGCTCTTCACTTGAGCTACACATCCTGCTGCCCTTTCATCCATGGCCTCATTTAGTCATAACAGTTGGGTGAAATAGTATTATGAATCTCATTTTACAGATGCAGAAACTAAGGTTTAGAGGAGTGAAGGACCTTGTCTAAGGACCCACAACTAGTGGTAGACCCAGGATCCCAACTCAGATCTGTCTGACCTCAAAACCCATGATTTAAACCTGAAAGTTTGCAAAATCCATGTAGCAACCCAGCAGGATAGAAAGATGTGCAGGGATATCTCTGTTAGATGAATCGAACTGAATACTCTGACCTCCATCCCAGGCTCTTAGGCTCTACCAGGCTCCCTTGCTTTCATCTCTCTTGAGTGGGTGGAAGAACACAAATTTCGGAGCCCCACAGCCCTGGTGTGAATCCCACTCCACCACCAGGGGCTGTGTGACTTTGGACCAGGCATCTTGCTTCTTTGGGCCTATGCATGGCTGCAGAAGAATTTCCAGCAGGCTATTTTAGGGATTTGGAGAGTAAATGTGGCCCAGCACACAGTTAACATGCCAGGAGCCATTGTTCCCATGGTTCACTTTTCCTGCAAACATGGGTCTATGTCCCACTGGGCTGCTGAGACCAGCTGCCATGATCTTGCATTTGTTTAGTGCTTTGTTCTCAGGGCAGGGAAGTGGTGGCACCTGACCCGAGCATGTCGCTGTCTATGACTTCCTCATTGGGGCTGTGGTGGGCAGGCCCTGAGGAGTCTATAGTCCTCAGACCTTGGACTTTAAAGGAGAGGAGGACCCTGTGTTGTCACTGTGACTATCAGAAGGCCATGGGGAGTTGGGTCACTGGAGACCTTCCTGCTGCCTCTGGGGTTCCAGAATCATAGAGCTTAGAGACCACCTACTGCAACTTTTTTTGTTTTGTTTTAGCAGATGGGGTAATCAGAACTCACTGTCAGGAAGTGGCTTTTACCTGAGATCACCCAGATGCTCCGGACAGGGCAGAGCAAATACACCTGGAACTTGAATTTTTGGACCTGCTTCCAGGACCCTGGGGACTTCCACTAGGAAGGTGAGCACCCCAACTGAGAATTCTAGGATGCTGGATGGTGCCAGGGAACACAGACACTAGCCACTTGGGGCCTTCTCCTCTGATGTGCCCAGGAGGAGGTAGAAAAAGCCAGTGACAACCTGTGATTCTCAGATAGGGGAACTTTATAATAGTGGTTCCTGAAAATCTGTGACACGGTTCTTTTTCTCTGACTCGTTCTCTTGCTCTTTCTCACTCTAAAAAATGACTGGACACTCCTAAAGCCCTCAGTCACCATCCAGGGGATTTTTTTCACCACAAGGGTAATTCCTACCCCATCCCTGCTCTGACTCAGCTGTGACGTTGAACCACACGAGCCAAAGAGAAGAAGATAAAGTCGTCAGATGCTCCTGCTCACCAGAGAGAGAGAGGCCCAGGCCAGAACCCACCTCTCCTCTCATCACAGACTCCACGGGACTGGCCCTCTGCCCTGGAGGAACTTAGACGGGTCCTCCAGCCAGCCTAGGACCCCAAGATGGCCTCCAGCTCAGCCAGCAGCCCCCGCCCGGCCCCCGATGAGAATGAGTTTCCCTTTGGGTGCCCCCCCACCGTCTGCCAGGACCCATCAGAGCCCAGGGCTCTCTGCTGCGCAGCCTGTCTCTCTGAGAACCTGAGGTGAGGGGATGGAGGAGCAAATGGTGGGTGGAAAGCAGGTGCCGGGGAGGAAGGGGCTCCTGACGGGAGACAAGGGCTAAGGGAGATGATGATGATGACTTGGACAGGTGGCTTCACCTCTCGGAGCCTCAGTTTCCACACCCTTTCCTCATACACCCTTACACTGCCCCTCTGGCTGTTGGTGGAAGGAAAAGTAGCCACAGAAAGATGTCAGCTCCCACAGCAGAAGGCCATCACTGCTGAGGGAGAGCCTCAGCCCAACAAGGCTACTTACTGACTGTGTGGCCTGGTGCCAAGTGCCAGTGTATCTAAGCCACAACTTTCTTGTCTGTAAAACTATTTGGGCCTCATAGAATTGCTACAAAGCCCAATTAACAAGAGTCCAAAAAGTCCTTATAATAACAATATCATAAATCCCTTGGTAAATGACAAACTGTTATACAAATATATCATCTTTCACAGTATTGTCTATCACCTTATAGTGTTTGCTGGGAACCCCTGAAAGCAAAGATATAGATATATGTATGTATTTATATTTAAAATATTAATAATCCAGAAAGGTGTTACGTCAATGCTATCATCCGCATCCCTCTTTAAGCGACTATTATGCACCTACTGGGTACCAAGGACTTTTTCCTTGAGTCTTCAGAACAGCCTGGAAAGGTGGGTACTATTATTATCCTGTTTTATGAATGAGGAGACTGAGGCTTAAGCAAAAGATTAGTTCAGCTTGCTTCGGGTCAGTTTCTTGGCAAAATGCCCTATGCTCTTAGACTGCCTCATGTGATGACCTTTTGTTTGGGACTTTACAGCTTAAGAAGGTGGGAAAGCTGAGTCAAGCAAGTGAGAAGTTCAAAGTAGTGACAAAAGGGGAGGCTTTGAGAAGCGGGGAGGGGTTGTGGCAGTGGAAAGGCCAGAGGGGAGGGGTAGAGGAACAAACCTTATCAAGCTGATTGTTCTGGGTACAGCTCAGGCTTTGGTGGTGGGTCTCCTGGCTTCCCTCTCCACTCTTCCAAAACCTGACAGGAATTGACTGGAGGTCACAGGGGCCCAGGCCTGAGACCTGAAGAGCATCTGCTCAGCCCTGCACCTGACTCACTCTACCTTGGCCAATCCACACGCCCTTCAGGGCCTCCTCTGTGAAATAAGATAGTTCAGTAGCTCTCACTATGGGTCAGAATCACTTGGGAGCAGAATCTCACACAAGTGCCCAGGTATCACTCCAGTTAGAATCTGCCACCCAGTCCTGATTAGGAACCTCCGGGCTAGGTGGTCCCTGAGGCCCCTTCTTGTTCTAATAACCCATGACCATCTGTAATTGCTAAAAATAAGAAACCAAAGCCAAATAGTGGACGCTGAGAAGAGCAAATAGAGTTATACATTCACAGTCCCTTGCCTAAGCCCCTGGGATCAGATGTGTTTTGGAGTTTGGAATGTTTTTAGAAAAGCAAGTCAGTGCATTATGTAATTCTTCTGGCGGGGAATAGGGCGGTACCTTATAATCAAGCACATTAATGTTTCTGCAATGAAACATATAAATACAATAAGTGGGACAAGAAAGGGCCTAATAACTTTTGGTCAGTTCGGGTGAGTTTTGGCTGCCCAGAAAGCTCACTGCAAACTGTAGGAAAGCATGGGATGTTCAATACTTTTGAGGTTTGAAATGGTTTCTGAGATTGTGGGGCTGTACTTTTCCTGGAGCTGTCAGGAGAGTGGAAGGTGCTGGGGGGTTCATAGTGTCTCATAGGGATTTGTCCATGCTTCCCCAGGAACAGCGAAGACCGGATCTGTCCCAAATGCAGAGGGGATGATCACCATTCTGTAAGTCCAGGAAGCCTTCGGACTCAGGACAAGGTACGTTGGCATATCCAAGAAAGAGCATTTGTCCATTTCCTTGATTTGTCCAGGTTGAGGCCAAGTAGGCAACTGCCCACCCACTTGGCCCCTGGCAGGCGCCTTCCTCCTTGTCTTGAATCTGGACTGAATACACTTTATAAGCCATGCGGAGACTGATGTTCTTAGTGGTAAAGCATCTTGCCCAAAGCCACCTGGCTAGTCTGCAATGGATTTAAAGTGAGAACAGTCTAGACTAGGGATCTATAATCTGTGGCTCATAAGCCAATCTGGCCCACCATCTGTTTTTGTACAACCTATAAAAAAGCCAAAAGTGGTTTTTATATTTTTAAGTGTTTGAAAAAAATCAAAAAAAGAATGATATTTTGGGACATAAATACAAGTTGTGTCAAATTCAAACTTCTGTGTCCATAAATAAAGTTTTATTGGGACTCAGCAATGCCCACACATGTATGTGTTGTCTGTGGCTGCTGTCTCTCCACAACGTAACTCCAAGTTGAGTACTTGCAACTGAGACTTCAATACCCAAAATACTTACTATCTGGCCCTTTACAGAGGAAGTTAGCCAACTCTTGATCTAAATAGATATTTCTGCCCGTCTGTCCTTAGGCAGGGAGAGGCTGTTATCAACTCACATCTTGGGCTCTACCAAGCTGTGCTTCTAGGAATAAGTGACACCTTTGGAAGTGTGAGGGGCCAAAGAGACATTTTCAGGCACTACAATTAGAAACCCATCCCTCTCAAGCTGGAAAAAACCTCATAGGTTATCTGTCCGGCTCAGGGGTTCCCATATGTCATCCAGAACTGGTCTGTTCCCACCAGCTCATGACAAAATGATAAAAATAAAGAAAGCTCATATAAGTAAGTTAATATAAAACTAAATTCTATTTATAAAACTAACCTTTACTCTGAGATTGTGTCTTTTCCTATAAATATAAAAATGAAAAGATGTGACGGTAGATGATAGTTTTTGGTACAGCCTGTACTAGGTAAAATAAAAAAGATAGCAATCCCTATGTTAATATCCCAATTAAAAATGAAAATAAACTTGCATGAATCCAAACATGTAGGAATCACTGCTTAAAATCTGATCTTTGTTTACACATGGGACCTCCTGAGATCCCCTGGGGAGTCTTGTGCTAACTCACCTCAGTGGGCTGGATCTCATTGCTTGGCCACCCTCTTACCCCCACCGTGAGGTGCCTGGTTCCTTTCAGCCAGAGTTCTCTTCTTGTAACAAACTATGGCCCAGGGATCAGGAGCCTGGTCCCCAGGGATGGTTCTGTGTAATTCACTGAGTGGCTGGAGGCAGTTCCCAGGCCCTTTTTCTTCATCCATAAAGTAAAGATGTTAAGTTTCTGGGATCTGTGATGTCCACATTATCATTATGATGTCAATGTTGGTGGGGCGGCTCTCCCCCCACCTGTGGACCAGAAGCAGGCAAGCATCCACACCCACCCTCTCCCTTCCTGAGCTGGTCCTTCTCATTCCAAAAGTTCAGGGGAATTTCCTACCCTGCCCAGAGCTTGTTGTTTTCTGTTTTTTGCTTTTTGTTTTTTGAGTTGGAGTCTCACTGTGTCGCCCCGACTGGAGTGCAGTGGCCTCTCCCGGCCACTGCAGCCTTGACCTACTGGGCTCTGGTGATCCTTCCGCCTCAGCCTTCCCAGTAGCTGGAACTACAGGTGCACGCTACCACACCCAGCTAGTTTTTGATTTATTGTAGAGATGAGGTCTCGCCAAGTTGCCCAGGTGGGTCTCGAACCCGTGGGCTCAGGCAATTCACTCACCTCAGCCTCCCAAAGGCGCGGGATTACAAGCTGAGCCACTGAGCCTGGCTCAGCTTGTTTTGAGACTCTTCCATCCTCTTCTCAGCAGCCCCTCCACCAACAGGCCCTCCAGGAATAATAATAAGGATCAAATGCATTTTCCTGGAACTTTACACTCTATAGCATGGTAAGAGTTAGGATGCCCTGGTCCATGGAGTAGCTTCCTGAGCCTCCCTGTCTGCCCACCTTAGCAGACCGGCTTTGAGACATGAGCAGGCCTCTAAGTCCTCTGTGCCTCACCTGCAAAAGAATGCAGGCGGGTTGGGCTTTTCTAGGCGCCCCTTCTGTCAGAGCACTTAGCTTTCATCTGATTTTACTTTAACAAAGATGAATAAGTTAAAGCCACCGGACTAAGAGATATTAAAGTATCTCTTATCTATATTATCTAATATTTGTACAATGAATGTGTATTAATTTTGTTAAGAGAAAAGAATAGAACAAGTTAAGAAAACAGTAGTCCTAAAGTATTCAAGCAGGCATCGTTGCCCCATTTCTTTCTCCTATCCCAGCCCCTGGGCAACTCAGGGGACTCCTAAGGCCCTGCAGAGCACCACTTGAAACTGCTGCCTTAAACCAAAAGCAGGGACTTTACTGGTGGAATTACAGGCACCCTGACAGGCTGTGGAGTGGAAGAGTATGCTGTTGTATTTGGGGGCAAAGGCCTCTTTCATGCAGGCAGGCCTCTGGAAGCATCAGCCCTACCCCTCCTGCCAGCTGTCCAGATCATGCCGCCATCACTGAACCCCTCGTGAAAAGCTGGGACAGGGATTGAGTTGGTGGTCTCATCACCTGCAAAAAGTCACATGGGGGAAAAAACAAGGACTCCTCTGGCTCCTGCCCCTGATGGGAACGTTGGGGGACTTTCGACCAAAGGAAAGCAACTGATTATAAGTTCACACTTTACATATGTGGTCATCCCCAAGTTTGCCTATGCATCTGGGGCAATCTGGGGGCTGGAGGCAGGGTGGAGCACAGGGGACCAGCTGAGTTAAGCACACAGGCGCCAGTCCTTACAAACACATCCTGTGCCATCTGCTTATCAGTTTGTCCTCATCCTCTGACTCTTAAGATTAGTATCTTCCCAAGAAGTGCCCAGAGCCATGGGCTGATTACCTAATGGAAGGAGTGGGAATTAAAGGATTAATGTTGGCCTAGTTAGAGACTTGGCTCTTGCCTGGAGGGATCTTTTGTAAAAGTGACAGTGAATCAGGGGAAGACCTGGGAGCTAGAAAATAGCATTCAATCCTGTCTGCCAAGACCCTGCAAATGGAATTGTTTCTCTCACTCTTTTCCCCCCCGGGGCCCTTTCGGGAAGGTCAAAGGCAAGCTGACATCTGATTGCCAATGGCTCACAGTAATGCCTTCACTTTTTCTAGAGTCAGAAAATAACAGGGGTTTAAGCTGTCTGGTCCAATTTCCATTCTGGGCTGGATTCCTGCCTTGTGACTCCGTGTCCTTCCAATGGCAGAGAGCTCAGTATGCCATAAAACAACCACTACCACCTTGGCGGGACTCTGACTGTTGCAACATCTTCCTTTTATTTGTGCTGAGCTGAAGTCTGTCTCCCTTGATGCCACAAAAGGCAGGGCAGCCTCCTGTTCCTGAGTCAGTCCCACATCTGTGGAAAGACATCGAGTCCCCAGTGTCTTTGCATTTGGGGCAAATGTGTTCCTGTTTAACCCTTGAAGTGAGCCCCTAAGCCCTTACACTTCTAAAGTGACACTTTGCATCTAATCTCACCAGTCCACAACATCCTGTTTGGTGGGTGGTAGCGAGGAGGCAGGCCTAGACCAAAAGCACATAGCAAGTGGAAGGCAAAGCCAGGCTCCAACTCCTACCTCTTGGGCTGACAGATCTCTGTTCTTCTCCTGCAACCTGAGCCTAAGTCCCTCTCCTGTCCCTTGGGCTGTTGGCATCTTCTCTATGCTGCCTCCAAATGGGGGATCATCCCCCAGATGTTTTTTCTTTTTTTTTGAGTTGGGGGTCTCACTCAGTTGCCCAAGCTGGAGTACAGTGGTGCGATTCCAGTTTACTACAGCCTCAACTTCCTGGACTCGGGTGATCTTCTGCCTCAGCCTCCTGGGTAGCTGGGACTCCAGACACACACCACCACACCTGGCTAATTGTTTTATTTTTTATAGAGATGAAGTCTTGCTGTGTTGCCTAGGCTGGTCTCAATCCTCCTATCTCAGCCTCCCAAAGTGCTGGGATTACAGGCATGAGCCACCATACCACCCACCCCCCTAAGTATTTTCTGCATGATAAATAGCACAGTCAGCCTTAAGTGCTAGAATCCACAAAGTGCTATGGAAAAACCAGAATGAACAAGGCTACTTTCAATCAGGACAGTCAGGCAGGGCTTCCTGGAGTAGGTGACAGTCAAGCTGAGCGGAGTTGACAGGAACTGGCAGACAGCAGCAGTCTGACCAAGTTTCCCTGTGACTGTAGATTACCCCCATCTCAGGACTAGCTTGGGCCTGAGCAGAAACAGACCCTCAGGGCATCTAGGACCTTAGCTGGCCTCTGAGCCCAACCCAGTAGGGAAGGCAGCGCCTGGCATGTCCAGATCCTCTTTGTTGTACGCACAGCTACACAGAAGCGGCACTCATACCCTGACATTCTCTTAACACTCACATTCTCAGAGGCCCAGGTCTCTGAATGGGACTATGACCCCGCCACACAGCGTGGTCAGGAATTCCACATACCCAGAGACTCCTCAGACCCAGACAGAAGAGCAAGTGTTCCCTCGGGACTGGGAATCTTCTTTCTCTATTTTTGTTTTCTTCTCAAAGGAAATTCCACCGCAAACTTTATTTTTAGCAATTTGCAAGCAATGAGACCACTCACACAGGGGCCACTTGTGGCACCAGATGTACTTCAGGGCTGCTGGCCCAGGACAGATCCCCTGTTCTTCTCCTGCAACCTGTACCTCATTCCATCTCTGTCCCCTCGATCCTCAGCCTTTGGGTGAGGACACCCCTTGATCAAGCCAAAGACTCTTGGGGAAGATGGACTGTGGGCTTGGACTCTGGGGCTCCTGGTCTCTCCCTGTCCTTGCCCCATTGCCTTTTGTGAGTCACTACCTACCCCTGGGCTTCAGCTTCCTCCCCTGCACGAGGGTCGTGGAACCTCAAAGTCCAACCTCCTCATGACTATGAATGGGTGGTGCCTTTGCACATGCCGAGAAGGTAGCATGCCCTTGCAAGGGAGAGAAGACCCAGGTTCCCTTGACTCCTTAGCTTGCAGGCATGGCGTAACCTCAAGCCATTCACTCAGTTTCTCTGTCAGTGTTAGGGTGGAGCAAATCTAGCCCCATCTGCCTCTAAGGAGTGTTGCAGGGATCCTATGGGAAATATCCCAGAATGCTTTGGTCCTGTATAAATAGAGAATGTTCTAGGGCCTTAAGCATTTAGGGATGTTCCTCTACCTTGAGGAAATCCAATGGGAAAATGGAGTTTTGTAGAATTAGTCCTGAAGAGTTTGAGATGTGAGGATTAAATGAGATACATGTGGCTGAATACAGTGGCTCATACCTGTTATCCCAGTACTCTGGGAGTCCAAGGAAAGAGGGTTGTTTGAACCCAGGAGTTTGAGACCAGCCTGGGCAATATAGCAAGAGCTCATCTCTAGTAAATTTTTTAAAAATGAGATATATGCATATGACAGCCATTGGGTGTTGGGGGAAGTGTCTCAAGGGCAGTACTTAATTCATAGGGATAATAATACTAATAATAGTAATACTACTACTAATGACTAACACTTATGAAGCACTGTGTTAGGCAAAATAGTGTCTTCCAAAGATGTCCACATTCAAATCCCCAGAACCTGTGAGTAGGTTATTACACACAGCTCTATTTATTTGCTAGGGCTGCCATACCAAAGTACGCAGACTGGGTGTTGCAGACAACAAATGTATTTCCTCACAGTTCTGGAGACTCAAAGTCTGAGACAAGGTATTGACGGGTTTGTTTCCTCTAAGGCTTCTCTCCGTGGTTTGTAGATGGCTGTCTTCTCCCTGTGTCTTCATATGGTCCTTCATGTCCAAATTTCCTCTTCTTATAAAGACACCAGTCACACTGGATTAAGACCTACACTAATGACCTCATTTTAACTTGTTTAGCTCTTAAAGATCCCATGTCCACATTCTGAGGTCCTGGGGGTTAGCACTTCAACATATGAATTTGGGTGGGGGACACCGAGCCCATAATAATGGCAAAGGGACTCTGCTGACGTGATTAAATTAATGATCCTGAAATGGGGAGATTACCCTGGATTATCTAGGTGGGCCCAAGGTAACCCCAAGTGTCCTTATAAGAGGAAAGCAATAGAGTCAGAGAAGTTGGAAGGTCATCTGCTGCTGGTTTTGAAGATGGAGGAAGGGACTGAAAGCCAAGGAACACAGGCAGCATCTAGAAGCTGGAAACAGTGAGAAATCAGATTCTACTCTAGGGCTTCTGGGAGGAACACAGTCCTGCCAGCAATTTTGATGTTAGGACTTCTGACCTCCAGAACTGGAAGATAATAAAGTTGTGTTGTTTTAAGCCATTAAGTTTGTGATATTTTGTTATAGCAGCAATAGGTAACTAATACCAGCACTTGCACATATTATCTCATTTAATCCTCACATTAACTTTATAAGAAGAATACTATTATCCTCATTTTGCAGATGAGGAAACTGCAACATGGAGAATTAGGAACTCTCCAGGGCCACACAACAAGTATGTGAAGTGACAGAAATGGGCTCTGAACCCCAACAGGCTGGCTTCAGGGCCCATACCCTAACTCCCCATACACTCTAAGGGATCACTCATGCCCCCTTCTCCAGCAGGCATCTGAAACTGGTCACATCCACACCTGTACACGCATCATGGAAGGCTATCCTGTATGTCCATATTGCATCTTGTCCCCTGCAACACACTGTCACTGCTCACACAATGCCGGTATGGCTCAGCTGCTGGAGAACATACCCTGCTACCTGCTGGGTGATGTCTGGAATCCAGCTTTAGCTTGATCATTTCCACCTTTGTGTCCCTCTTATGACTCTCACTTCAAATTTCGATCCTTAGAACCACAGAGAATTTGAGTCATGGACTTGCAGGGAGTTTGGGGCTGGAGGGGTTACCCCAAGTCCATTCGCCAGGAGCCAGGTCCACACCTGGCATCAGGCCCTCCATTGTTCCCACATGTCAGAAATTACCTATCAGGAGAGGCTTCGTCACTGCAGACTTCCCAAAGCCAGTGTGTTCTCCCTGCCAAGGCCGCCCTCTGCCTGCCCCCCGTAGAACATCTGTTTTCCATTCTTTGTTGGGAACAACTTGTCTCTGAAGCCCAGAACAGTGGGGCGAGGGGGGTGGCCCTTTGCTGGACTGTGCTCTGTGTCCCAAACCAACTGTACTCATTAAGCACGCAGCTCTCTGCTTATTTGACTTTTAAAGAATAATAACTAGTGTGGCTTTGTACTTGCTCAGCCTGAAAGACCTTTGTCCTCCCTTCCTTTCATCCAAATCCTACTTTACAAAGCCCTATGAGGTTATTGCTTCAAAAAACAGCAAAAAAAAAACCCCCCAAAAACCCAAAGCTCTTGTAAAATCAAGATGGTATTTACACACAATAAAATTCACTTATTTTAAGTGTACAGTTTGATGAATGTATATAATTGTGTGACCACCACTACAGTCAAGATGGCAGACATTTCTGCACTGGATAAAGCTGCTTTGTGTCCCTGCACTGTCCGTTCCCCCCTCCCCCCATCCACAGCCCCAAGCAACCACCAATCCACTATCTGTCACTACAGTTTGGCCTTTTCTAGAATCTTGTAACAATGGAATCAGGTAGTACAAAGACTTTTGTGTTTGACTTCTTTCATTTAGCATAATATGTTTGAGGTTCATTCATGTTATTGTTTATATAGTGTTTACTTCTACGTGATTGCTAAGAAGCATTCTAGAGCATGGATATACCAAAATTTGTTCATCCACTCACCAGTTGATGGCATTTGGGCTGCTTCCAGTTTGGGGCTATTATGAACATCCACATACACATCTTTACACGGACATGTTTTCCTTTCTCTTGCATAAATTCCTAGGAGTGAAATGTGTGGATTTTGTGGCAACTTTTTTGGTTTAAATAAGTTATTTTACAAGTAAAGTTTAACTTTTTAAGATACTCCCATCAACTTTTCCAGTGTCTGTGCCATGTTACATTCCCACCAGCAACATGTGAGAGTTCTCGTTGCTCCACATCCTTACCAAAACCTACTGTTGTCTCTCTTTTTAATTTTAGCCATACTCGTGAGTGGATCGTGGTATTTCACTGCAGTTATAATTTACATTTCTTGGCTGGGCGCGGTCAAGAAATGTGGCTCAGCCTGTAATCCCAGCACTTTGGGAGGCTGAGACGAGTGTATTGCCTGAGCCCACGGGTTCGAGACCAGTCTAGGCAACTAGGTGAGACCTCGTCTCTACAATAAATAAAAAAAAAATTAGCCAGGCATATAGCATGCGCCTGTAGTTCCAGCTACTTGAAAAGCTAAGGCGGAAGGATCACCAGAGCCCAGCAGATCAACGCTGGGGTGACCGTGAACTTGCCACTGTACTCCAGCCTGGGCAACAGAGTGAGACTCCAACTCAAATAATAATAATAATAATTTACATTTCTCTGATGACTGGTGATGTTGAGCATCTTCTCATAGCTTATTTGTCACTCTTCTATCTCCTTGTGTGAAGTATCTGTTCTTTATTTTGCCCATTTTTTACTAGGCCGTTTGTCTTCTTATTATGAGATTGTAAGAGTTCTCCATATATTCTGGATATAAGCCCTTTTGAAGACATAGTCATGTTCCATGTAATGCTTCTGTCCACGACAGACTGCATATATGACGGTGGTCCCATCAGATTATAATCCTGTATCTTTGCTGTACCTTTTCTATGTGTAGATAAACCAATACTGACCATTGTGTTACCGTTGCCTACAGTATTCAGTTCAGTAAGGTGTTGTGCAGGTTTGTAGCCTGGGAGCAACAGACTAGACCATATAGCCTAGGTGTATAGCAGGCTGACCCAACTAGGTTTGTGTAAGTACACACTATGGTATTTGCACAATGACAGAATTGCTTAAAGACTCATTTTTCAGAATGTGTCCCTGTTGTTAAGTGACACATGACTGTATATGTTTGGAAGAATTTCTCCCATCTCCTCTGGGCTTATTCTTACTAAGAGACAGCAATACAGTGTGGGAGGAGCGCTGTGGCTGTGCTGCTTCCTAGTGCTGCCTCCTCAGGCAAGTCCCTTCCACCCAGGAGCCTCAGTTTCTTCATCAGTAAAATGGGAACAAAAAATATGCCCTATCTTCCCCCACTATAGTGTTATTATGAGCTCTAAGAAGAATTATGACCATGAAAGCAATTGGTAAACCCTTCAGACCTAAATAGGTTAAGAGCAGTGTCAAGTTGCTATTGGCCTTGAGACCCTTCTCTATTCCTGCCCCCAGGCTGCACGCTATCTGGAAGGGAAGGTGGTGCAGGGCAGACACGCCTCTGTCAAGGAGAGATGGTCAGGGAGGGATGCAGAAGAGGACTGTGGGAAGGGTCCCCAAGGGCTTCAGGAGGAGGGAACCTCGTGCAGCCAGCATGTTCTGATTGGCTCCACTGTGCCAGGCACTGCCCTCAGCACTGGCAACAGCCCATGACCCTCACAGAGTCCCCAGACAGGCATAGGCAACCAAAGAGTGCATGGTGATGATAGACTAGTGTAGAATGTGCCCTGACAGGAGAAACAGCAGTGCTGCCCAGGAATGCAGCAGCGGCCCAGGTCCTGCTTTGAAGGAAGGTCATGGATGGGCGAAGCTCAAGGGCTGGAAAGGAGTCCTCCAGGCAAAGGGAACAGCATGTGCAGTGTCATGTAGCCCAGCCCAGCTCCTGCCCTGGTGAACCCTGGTGCATTGCAGGGAGCCCTAGGGGTAGTCACAGGGATCCCTGTAACATCTAGTGACACAGTGATTATTTCCAGGCTCACCCTGAGATGGCCGAGACTGGAGTTGGGTGCTCTTTTGCAGGTGTTGGCTGCTCCTTCATGGTGAGTAAGGAGGTCTGTCCACTATGGCTCCAGGCTTCTGGGTCTCCCCACTCCAGCCCCTCCAGGATTTTTCCAGCACATCAAGATACTCCTCTGGAGTAGTACTCATTACTTTTCCAAGCACAGATCCCACTATTAAGTCATCACAGTACTCAGGGAAGATCTTTTTTAATGTCTCACCTGAACATTGGCGTAACAAAGCAAAAATGACCCCCCATCCCCCCCCGGCTCTCTCCATGGTCCTGAATCATCGCTGTGCTTGAGGGCAGGGCAGGGTTGTCCCTGTAGAGGTCAGGGTGCATGTGATTCATTGTAGGTCCTGCTCCTGAATTCACTCTGTGCAGCGAGCCACTCTCCTTTGCTGAGCGAGTGAATCTGACTCTCCTGGTAACCTCTGATGGTGGGGCTGTTCACTGCTCCTTGGTTCTCCTCCACCTGTTTTCACTGATCAGCCCACTCTCTTGGCAGGGAAGCCTGCAGTCTATACAGGAGCATGAGGTCACCTCCCAGGCCTCCCACCTGAACCTGCTGCTGGGGTTCATGAAACAGTGGAAAGCCCGACTGGGCTCTGGCCCCGGGTCTGAGCCCATGGCCCTAGAGCAGAATCTGTCAGACCTGCAGCTGCAGGCGGCCGTGGAGGTGGCGGGGGACCTGGAGGTGGACTGCTACCGGGCACCCTGCTCCGAGAGCCAGGACGAACTGGCTCTACAGCACTTCATGAAGGAGAAGCTCCTGGCCGAGCTGGAGGGAAAGCTGCATGTGTTTGAGAACATCGTTGCTGTCCTCAATAAGGAGGTGGAGGCCTCCCACCTCGCCCTGGCCACCTCCATCCACCAGAGCCAGCTGGACCGTGAGCGCATCCTGAGCTTGGAGCAGAGGGTAAGGGGGCAGGCAGATCACCCTGTCTCCAGAGTCATTCTTCCTGCTCAAGGCAGTCACTCCCCCATCAAGACCCATCTCCCCAGAGTCTCAGGACCTCCCAGGAGGAGCACTGAGTCGGCAGCTGTGGTCTCCAGTCTTTCAGCTCCTTTGCTCGAACTTCTGTGATAGCACCTTTCCTTCCTAGGCAGCTCATACCATTGCAGGACGTTTTTCACTATTAGCAAGTTCTTCCTTTTACTGAGCTAAAATCAGCCTCTCTGTGTCTTCCCTGCATTGTTCCTGGCCCTGCTCCTCTGAGCAGATCTGCCATGTAGTCTGCATGGCAGCCCTTCAGAGATGGCTAGTCAGTGATTATATACCACCTGAGTATGTCCTTCTTTAGATTAAAAGCCCCAGCACTCTCACCCCTTTGTCAATATGTTGTGTCGTGTGTTGTCCTCATAGGCTTTGGCTGAATGACTCTATATGTTTGGAGTATTGTCCCAGACTGACTCCAGATACTCCACTTATCTGACAATTCTTGGTCCAACAGGACTGTTCCCACCTTTATACTTTTCTTTTTTTTTTTTTTTTTGAGTGGGTGTCTCATTCTGTCATCCAGGTTGGAGTACAGAGGCATGCTCACGGCCACCGCAGCCTTTGACCTGCTGGGCTCAGGCAATCCTTCCACCTCAGCCTTCCAAGTAGCTGTAACCACAGGTGTGTGCCACCACACCCAGCTAATTATTTTGATTTCTTGTAGAGACAATGTCTCACCAAGTTGCCCAGGCTGGTCTCAAACCTGCGGACTCCGGCAATCTTCTTGCCTTCACCTCCCACAGTGCTGAGATTACAGGCGTGAGCCATAGCACCTGGCTGTACTTTTCTTAATGTAGCCAGTCACCATTCTACTGTTCCTTTTTTTCTTTTTCCAGTAAGGTTACATCCTTGACCCATATTGAGTTAGGCCTGGATTTTAGTGCCAGTGCCATCATTAACTTGCTGTGTAGGTCTGAGCAAGTCTCTTTCCTTCTCAGGACCTCAGCCTCCCCTTCAGTAAAATTAAAGATTACATTTTCTTTAAGGACACTTCCAGTCATGGTGTCCCTACTTGAGCACCCCCAAAAATAAAGCTGTATTCTATCAAATTTCACTGGGGAAACCTACTAGAAGGTCCAGGCACTGGGTTCGAATGACTGAGGCTTTAGCCTCTATTTATGTAATTCTTGCCCCAGTCAAAAGGTAGGCTCTCTGACAGCTACGACTGGGTCTTCATTTCACCAACAAACTTCCTGGCTTGCCTTTTATATCCTAGATTCTATGAAAGGCATGGACACAAAGGTAAAGTGAGTATGCACGGGCCCAGCCATCAGAGGAGGAGACCATCCGGTCGGAAAGGCAGAAAAATATATCTCATAGAACATAGGTGAGAGGCCAGCTGAGATAGGGCAGTGGCTGAGGCCTTCCCAGAGGAGGGCCAGATGAGCTGGATTCCTGATGGATGAATAGGAGTTGGCCAGTGGAGAAGGAAGGAACAGGAATTCCAGGCGGGGGCAGCACATGCAAACATAGGGGCCTGTGCTGAGGGTGTAGTCAGGGAAGCACACTTAGGGCAGGTTGGGGTCCATTTCCCGCCACCCTCGCCTCTTCCTCAAGCCACATCCTGGTGTCCTTGACTGAACGAGCTTCCCTACAGGTGGCAGAGTTGCAGCAGACCCTGGCCCAGAAAGACCAGGCCCTGGGCAAGCTGGAGCAGAGCCTGCGCCTCATGGAGGAGGCCTCCTTTGACGGCACCTTCCTGTGGAAGATCACCAATGTCACCAGGCGGTGCCACGAGTCAGCCTGTGGCAGGACCGTCAGCCTTTTCTCCCCAGGTAACAGTTCTCAGGGGCTCAGAGACTGAAGTAGGCAGGTCCCATGGGCCCCAGAAACAAGCAGTGAGAACAGTCAGCTCTGGGACAGCTATGCTGTGTCCAGTGAGGCCGGTGTCCATCCAGGCCACCTCCCATGGCCAGGGACCATGCTGGGATCGTGGGGGTGGAGGGCAGACTGTGCTCCGGCCCATGCACTGCAGGGGGCTGTTTGTCCCTGGGCAGGCCCCTTCTTCTCCCTTGTCAGTCACGTTCTGCAAATAGGAATAAAAGCCGTTGTCCATGTCAAGTGGGTATCAAATGTGAAAGAAAGTGTGCTGTGAGCTAGAGCTTGTCCAGGTGAGAGGGAGGTGGACGGTGACTTTCACAGGTAAATACCATGGGACCCCTGCCTGCAGGGAGCCAGCCATCTGAAACGAGGTGAGCAGAGATTAAGTAATACACACTTGCATATGTGTAAAATTGTGGACAGCACGTGAGTGTGTGTTGTGTAAGTTGGGGCCATTCTTACTCATTTTTGGGCCCCTGGGAGTGGCACGAGTCTTGCATAAAGTAGTTACTTAGTAAATGTTTATCTTAATTGATTGACATATGTTCCAGCCTGGGCAGCATATCGAGACCTTGTCTCTATAGAAAATAAAAAAATTAGACTGGTATGGTGATGCTCGCCTGTAGTCCCAGCTACCTGGGAGGCAGAGGCGGAAGGATCACCTGAGCCCAGGAGGTTAAGGCTTCGGTGAGCCATGATTGCACCACTGCACTCCAGCCTGGGTGACAGAGTAAGACTCTGACTCAAAAAAGAAAAAAACAATTGATATCTGTTAATATAACAGCACACATATTTGTGCATAGAATGAGGCTGCAGAGTTTGCCCTGAACCCTGGAGCAGGGCTGGAGCCCTTTTCCTGCAGGAGCAGTGGTCATCCTGCTCTATCAGGACAACCCTTTTCATGGGCTAACCTCATGCCCCACTGGCAGACCTCTTTTCCTCAATTCTTTCCAAAGAGGGAAAAAGTAAGCAGTGCTTTGGGCTTCCTGTTCTACCAAGATGTAATGGGCAGAGATGAGTCAACCTGTCCCCCCTCCACCTCTGTCCTGCCCACCTCTCAACCCCTGTCAGCCCCCAGCCCTTCCCAGAAGGGCCCTCTGCTCGAAGGTGGCAGCTGTCGGAACCCACATTCACGTGGATGGGCTTGGCTCTTTCGCTGCCCAGGGAGAGAACCCCATGGGTTTCCATGCGTCATCACCAGGGATGACTCATGCCTCAGGGCCTTTGCTGAGGGTGGCTGGCAGAACTGTGAGTCACCTCACACACTCCCAGCCTCCAGGGTACCTCAACCAGTTGGCCTAGGGCAGCAAAAAGAAACCACTATGGGAGGCAGGAAGCCTGGCCCCTAACTCTGTCTCTGTCCCCAACACACTATGAGATGATGACCAGCCACTTCCTCTACTGGGCTCAGCTTCCAGACTGTAAAATGCAAGTTGGTTTGGTCAGTGGTTTTCAAAATGTGGTCCCAGGGCTAGCAGCATTGGCATCACTGCTAACTTGATAGAAATGCAGATTGTCTGTTCTCACCCCGGCGCCACTGAGGGTGGGGGCTGGCAGTCTGATCCAGATAGCCAGGTGACAATCACTGGGCTAGATGATCCCCAAGAGTCTGTTCCTCCTTAAACTCTAATTGAGAAGAATGCTGGGCTCTAACCCCCCTTTCGTGGCTTTAAGCCTAGGGCATGCCTAACCACTGGGTCCCGCTTCCCTCATCTGCAGAGTCTAGCACTTCCCAGCTGCCTCCATGCTGACTCTGGCTTCCGCATTTCAGCTTTCTACACTGCTAAGTATGGCTACAAGTTGTGTCTGCGGCTGTACCTGAATGGGGATGGCACTGGAAAGAGGACACACCTGTCACTCTTCATCGTAATCATGAGAGGGGAGTACGATGCCCTGCTGCCGTGGCCTTTCCGGAATAAGGTATGAGAGATGGGGACCTGGGACCTAATCCTGGTTTAGCTGGTCATATGACCTAGGCAAGTCCCCTTCCCTTTCCACGTTATGAGTTTTCCCTTTTATGAAACAAGAAACTGAGTTCTGATCTAGTAGCCAAGCCTCCCTCCAGCTCCAGGAATTCAAGAGATGAAATGTCTGAACAGAGCACTCCTGAAGGTTATGTAGAAATGAAACTCACATGGTGCAGTGAATACAAAAACCTTCCTGGAGGAGGTGATGTGAGGCTAGCCTGAACCGGCAGGATTTTCTGAAAAAGGAAAGGAAGCAGATACCACTACATACCTACAAGAGTGGCCAAAATCTGGAACACTGACAATACCAAGTGCTGTTGAAGATGTGGAGCAATAGGAACTCTCATTCATTTCTGGGGGGAATGCAAAATGGTACCGTCATTTTGGATGACAATATGGCAATTTCTAACAAAACTAAATATACCCTTACCACATGATTCAGCGGTTACATTCCTTGGTATTTACCGAAAGGAGCTGAAAACATATGTCCACACAAAAACCTGAACAAGGATGTTTAAATCAGCTTTATTCATGACTGCCAAAACTTAAGCAACCAAAATGTTCTCCAGTAAGTAAATGGAAAAATACACCATGGTACATCCAGACAATGAAACACGATTCAGTGCTGAATAAAAAGAAAATATCAAGCCATGAAAAGGCATGGAGGAACCTCAAATGTATATTACTAAGTAAAAGAAGCCAATTTGAAAAGACTACATTCTGTATGATTCTAACCATATGGCATTCTGGAAAAGACAAAGCTGTAGAGACAGTAAAAGGATCAGTGGTTGCCCAGGAGGAGGGGCAGGAAGAGGTGAACAGGTGGGGCACAGAGGATGTTTAGGGCAGTGAAACTATCCTGTATGATACTGTAATGGTGGATGCATGTCCTTATACATCTATCAAAACCCATAGAATGGGGAACACCGAGAGTGAACCCTAATGAAAGCCACGGTCTTTGAGTGATACTGATGTGTCAATACAGGTTCATCCCTGTAACAAGTGTGCCACTCTGGTGGGGATGTTGATGGTAGGGGAGTTTGGGAGGGGCCAGGGGTATGTGGGAACTGTATATTCCGCTCAGTTTTGTTGTGGATCTAGCGCCACTCTAAAAATTAAAGTCTATTAAAAAATTTGGGCCAGGCTTGATGACTCAGCCAGTAATCCTAGCACTTTGGGAGGCCAGGGCGATTGTCTGAACCCGTGGGTTCAAGACTGGTCTGGGCAACTTGGCGAGACCTCATCGCTACAGTAAATAAAAAATATTACAGGCATGGTAACACATGCTTGTTGTTCCGGCTACTTGGAAGGCTGAGGTGGAAGGATCGCTGGAGTCCAGCAGGTCGATGCTGGGGTGGCCGTGAGTGTGCCACAGCACTCCGGTCTGGGTGACAGAGTGAAACTCCAAAAAAAAAAAATTGTTTTGAAAGAGGGCTTGGGGGGGGAGGCTAGGCACCCCTGCAGGTGAACAACAGCATCAAGTGAGGAGGAGATGTCAAGATACAGACCTCAGCTAAGGTGGGAGCAGGTGGGAGGGGAGAGGTTATGATGGTCTGGGTGTGAGTCTGTAGTTCCTCTCCAGCGGTTCCCAAAGGTGCTGGGGAGATTTTAAGACCAACAACTGGGTCTCACTGTAGCAGGGGTAAGGCCTGAGCATCCCCAGAGGATCTAACATGCAGCCGAGTTTAAGGACTGCCTCAGTGGGTGACAGGAAGATGTTTCAGGGTCCTGATGGGCATTGCAGGGGCACCTGTCAGGAAGAGGGTTTGTGTCACTTTTAGGTGATCAGCTTCTCAGAGGTACGTATGTCTGCTCTGTGTGTACCAGAAGTTGTGTAAATATGTCAGGGCATTGATTGGCAGCCCTTGTAGAAGGCCTGTCTGTTCTCACCCTTCTGCTTTACCCCAGGAGGGTACAGCTGTAGCTGGTGAGTCAAAAACGGCCAAGCCAGAGGCTTCATAGGTTATTGAGCCCAGCCCTCTCATCAGTGCTTCAGTCATACCGTTAGCCCCCAGCAGCCAATCAGACTTGACTGTGGCATCATCATCCTTCCCCTTTTCCTCCTGGATGGAAGGAACATCTGATCCTAATCATAGGATGACCCCTGAAGCCTGCCCGGAATTTCAGGTGTTTCTGGCTACTGGGGTCTGGCCATCCACCAGGTACCATCCTAACGTAGCTTCTCTGACTCCTGATCAGCCTGAGCTAAGGGTCAGAGGGGCTCCCCAGAAGTAGGCACAGAGCCCAGCTCTGAGCCCAAGCACGGGTCCTCAAGCCCTGCTGCTGCTGCCTGGGGCCTGACTTCACACCTGTCCCCGCCCTGCAGGTCACCTTTATGCTGCTTGACCAGAACAACCGGGAGCACGCCATTGACGCCTTCCGGCCTGACCTGAGTTCAGCATCCTTCCAGCGGCCCCAGAGTGAAACCAACGTGGCCAGCGGCTGCCCGCTCTTCTTCCCCCTCAGCAGGCTGCAGTCACCCAAGCACGCCTACGTGAAGGATGACACCATGTTCCTCAAGTGCATCGTGGAGACCAGTGCTTAGGGTGGATAGGGCTCCTGAGGAGGCACCAGCTCAGCCTGGGGGCTTAACAAGATGACTGTGATGTCCTGCCCTTGGTGCCCAAGACCCCAGGGTGCAAGAGCACAGGGTGGGCCAGGGCTAGCGTGACCTGAGCAGGACTGGCTGGTTGACCGTAGCCGGCTATCAGCTTTGGATGGCAGGACCTTGGGCCAGACCCACAAAGGCAAGACGTTTAAAAGGAGATGGACAGAATTGTTCCCCTCCTCACTGACCACACGACACTGGAAGGCCAGGGAGCCATCTAGCCCTGGATGTTGAGGCAGACTTGAACCAAGTTGGGGAGAAGAACTGGCTGGGAGCTGTAGGACCCGAGCAGGGAAGGTCTCTGCAGGGCTACCATGGAGTTCTGCAAACAGGCTTACTGTCTTGCTGCTGAGGGTTAGAACTAGGACCGTGGGTACCAATGTGAATGTGGCCTGTGTAGGCTTGGACTGAGTTCCCCATTACTGGAAGTGAACAAGCAAATCCAGAGGACTATACTGGACATTAGATTGGGGGTTAGACCTGAAGACCTTTAAAGTTCCTTCCAGCCTAGAAAGTCTAATTCTCGGCCTCTGGCTCAGGTGAGGCCTGGGGCTGTAGGGGCTTCTGGAAACATTCAGGAAACTCACGCCTCCAACTCCTCACTCACCTTTAATACCCCTAGTGAGCAGCGCTGGCCTCCAGGGTACCTGCCATCCTGGACCCAGCAGCTCAGCTTCCCCAACAGGCAGGAGCACACACAGCCCCTGCCTGCATCCTGCGCCTCTGCCAGCCAAGCATCCTCATTTCATCCAGGTGAAACCAGGTCACTGCAGTGTCCCAGGCACCGCCGAAGGACCGTGAAGGAGAGGGGCATAGACTTTCCAATTCCCTTCTTGGAGCCCTCCACCTTTGATGCTTTCCTGAGTCCTGACTCATCTAAATAGCCAAGGCATTCACTTCTCTCAGTTGACTGACCTGGGCCTCTGAGCCAGCGAGCAGAGGTTGTCCTTTCAAATATGTATAAAACTAAGGAAAGAATTTTCTCTGTTCTCTTTTGAAGTCTTCATTGAGCGTGTAGTTGTGGGAGTTGGTCATACCGAGCCAAGTTTGAAAAGGCCATTGCTGAGTTCAGGGTGGTGCCGCCCATCTTGTGGGTGGCATCAGAGGCCAGCGTGCTGGCAGGAACATCCCTTCTTGGCCTCCATCTTTTCTATAACAGGGAGACACCCCAGTCTGCCTCTCTCAGTGGGCTCTCTGATCCTCAAAGGAGAAGCCACACAGGAAAGACTGGAGAGAGAGAAGCCTGGACACTGCTGTCTGCCTGCCTTGGCCTGGCTGTGGCCCACACTTGTCTTCTCAACTTTGAGGCCTCACCCAACTTCCCAGGAACCTTGAGACAGGTCAGAACCCTGCCACTCTTCCTTGAAGCCTTCCCGACAGCTTACTCTCCCTCCACTTGCTGAGGCTGCAATAGATATCACTCCCCAAACCTGTGGCATTTCTTTTGTAAAATCGGTCAATGGCCCTGCCTATTCTCCTTAGCCCAGCATTTCAGCATTTGGGAGAATCAAAGGAAGTGAGGGAGCATCATGGCACAGCAGGCTCAACAGATGAAAAAATCCAGGCCCAGGCCAGGTATGGTGGCTCACGCCTGTAATCCCAGCACTTTGGGAGGCAGAGGCATGAGGATTGCCTGAGCCTGGGCAACTTGGCACGACCTCCTCTCTACAATAAGTAAATAAATAAAATTAATTGAGCATAGTGGTACATACCTGTAGTCCCAGCTACTGGGAAAGCTAAGGTGGACAGATCATCTGAGCCCAGGAGGTTGAGGTTGCAGTGTCTGTGAGCATGCCACTGCACTGCAGCCTGGGTGACAGAGTGAGACTCCAACTTCAAAACAAAACAAAAACCCAGGCCCTTGGCCAGGTGTGGTGAGTCACACATATAATCCTAACACTTTCGGGAGGCCGAGGCAAAAGGTTCAAGACCAGTCTAGGTAACATAGCAGACCTCATCTCTACAAAATCAAAAAATTAGCCAGGTGTGGTGGCACCACCTGTAGTCCCAGCTACTCAGGAGGCTGAGGCAGAAGGGTAGGCTGAGGCAGAAGGGTCACCTGAGCTCAAAAGGTCAAGGCTGCAGTGAAACTAAACCTCTTCATCTGAAAACCAAGGAAAGCCTCACCTTGACCTGCACAGCCCATGGGGTTTCAGGGGCCCTTCCTACAAAAATGAGCACTAGTCTTTGTATGTACGATGGCGTCCACACATGACGCTGCGAACATGTGGAGCTTCTTGTTCTTCCCATTGCTGATAGCATGTCAGCAATGGAAACTGACTCACTTCCCCTGAATGGGTAGATGTAATAGGTGAACACCTGGCTGGGCAAGTTATGGGGACTTCTGTCTCAGAGCTGGTGTCCTAGCAATGATCTCCTCATCCCTACTCACCAAGTGCTGAGTCAAAGGGGGATTTATAAGACAAACCAACATGAGGGACTACTGTTACTCTGTTCCTTTAATTGCTTATTTCTGGTGAGAAGAGATACATACTCTCTTCAAAGAGTGCAGCGGTTGCTCCAGCAAAGCTTTACTGATACCTGCTCATGTCATCTACTCTGCTGGACACTGGGGAGGAGAAAGGTAAGATGTGCACCCTACCCTCAAGAAACTCTACCTTCAGTGGGGGAAACAGGCACATAAGTAGATCATTATGATGGAAAATAAGAGAAGCTCAGAGAAAGCATAGAATCCTAGATCTATTGAGTGAAGCATGGAGGGCTTCATGAAAGAGGTGGCATTTAAACTCAGCCTGAGAATATTTTGAGATTCAGAGGATGGGGTGATGGGGAGAGTACAGGCTTGGAGGTGGGAAGTAGTCTTGGCCACAGGCAAGTTCTGTGTGGCAGGATGGTGGAGGGGAAGGCAGAAGGGTAGGATGAGCCATAGCATAGATAGCATCAGGTATAGCACTACCCTCTCTAAAGCATCTACTGGGTGACCCTGGGCCTGCTAAGAGCAGGATGAGACTGATTTAAAATGCTGAATAATTTCTCTTCCACCAGAGCTCTATGTTAAATGTGCCAAAGACCTGATGTCACATCCCTTCAAACATAGGAGGCAAGACACAGGCCAAGCCACTGTTGGGGTCCTCACAACCCCCAGAGTGACAGACACCTTTTAATCCCCTTTTACAGATTGGGAAGCTAAGGCCAGAGAGGCCAGGTGCCTGGCCCAAGGGATGGGGTGGGCCTGGCATTAGGAACCAGGTCTTTTGCTTCCAGTTTCTTCCTCCTCTTTTTGGGTGAAATCTTTAGCCACGATGAGGTCGCATCTTCCCAGAAGGACTTGGGAGGCAGTGGGTCCTTCAGCTCCAGTCTGCTGGCCCTGCTGATGCCATCCCAGCCATGCCCCAAGAGAGCAGAGCAAGCACAGTTGGCCCCACACAGGCCTGTTCACAGAGGCTGCCATGTGGATGTCCACAGGCGATCTTCAGACAGTCCTATGCCTTCAGTGGCTAATTCCTGATTGCAAGGGATACGCTCATTCTAGAAAAACTGGAAAACAATATATAGAAGAAAGTAAAAATCACCCATGAGCCCAGTGTCTAGGTAAGTGCCACTGAGAACATTATTTTAGTCAACTTTCTTTGTCTTTTTGAAAAGGCAGATACACACACACACAAACACACACACACACACACACACACACACACACACACACACACACTTAGACTTTTTAAAATGCAATTAGAGGCTGGATGCAGTGGCTCATGCCTATAATCCCAGCACTTTAGGAGGCTGAGGTGGGAGGATTGTTTGAGCCCAGGAGTTCAAGACCAGCCTGGGCAACATAGCAAGACCTCATCTCTACAAAAAAATTAAAAAATTAGCCGGGCATGGTGGTGTGCACCTGTAGCCTCAGCTACTGGGGAGGCTGAGGCGAGAGGATCACTTGAGCCTGGGAGGTTGAGGCTGTGTTGATCCGAGATCATGCCACTGCACTCCAGCTTGGGTGACAGAGATCTCAACTCAAAAAAAAAAAAATGTAGCTAGAATCATGTGATTACTGTTTGATACTCTTCTTTTTTCACTTAACATATGATTGTGACATTCTTCCCCTGGGATATTCTTCCACTGGCCCTTTCTCACAAAGACGTGACAACTAAGAAAAGTGAAGTTGCTCAAAGCCCTACCAAGTCAGCCTTTACACTCAGCTCTTTTGATGCCAAAGCCAGGGCCTACCTGATCACAACTTTTCAGATGGAGAGACTAAGGCACAGAAGGGTAATGATGTGCCTGAGATCACATGACCAGTTCCAGAGCTCACATGACCAGTTCCCTGCCCTCCAGTCTCCTGGACTCTTCTCTATCCTGCATCCAGTGTCAGGGCAAGGCTCATGCTGGGAGAACTGAGGAGAAGATTTGCCCATGACTGGAGGAGATGACAGGACTGGGGAGTGTGACGTACCCCTGCTTTCAAGCGACTATACCCAGCGGAACACACAGGATCCACTCTCCTCTGCTGAGCTCAGGAGTGGGGCTGCCCTGAGCCTTGGTTTCTACTTCTGCCTTGTAGGTGAAAATTCTGCCAGCCTTTCTTCTCCAGGATCCCTCTCCAGGGAAGATAGACGCCCCCTACCTGGAGTGCTCGGCCAGGGGGCCACTTGGGCAGGATTGACACCAGCGGCAGAGGACGGGTAGGATGAAGTGCGGGGAGCTGCTGCCGTGCCTGTCACCCTTTGCCAGGAACTGGATCTCATTTGCCGCCTCGACATCTGGGACGTGTGTGTTTCAGCAAAGCACATTCATGTAGCACAGACAGGGCTCTGGGGTCAGTTCCAGAGGGAGCTGGATGTTACAGCTGTCTGGGCTTGTGGCATTCTTTTTTGTTGGTTCCTTTCCTCAACCCCCAACCATCTAAAGACCTTTTCTTCCTTGGAAAATCCAGGTTGTATAGTGGTGATGTTGTCGTGACCATCACAGCTGGCCATTGTGCAGGCAGGGAAGTCCAGAGAGAGGTAGATGCTGGGCAGCGTCACCCAAAGTTCCAGCAGCTTGGCTGTGGTGTCCTGTGGCTCCTCTCTGATGGGGAGGAGGTCATCCCACCCCATCTGTTGCCCTCACCCTCCAGCAACAGGATTCAGTTCCCTTTGTATAGATGAGAAGAATGACTCACTCAGGGCACCCGGCTGCCAAGGGGGCAGAGCCCACCTCAGACCTATGTCTTCTGGCCACAGTTCCCGGCCCTTCCTGCTACCACCTGT